CCCCGCCATCCGCGGGTTGGCACCCGAGCGCCCGCGGCTCCGGCCGCGCCTGATCAGCGCACCTTCGAGGGGGTCGGCTGTGCCCGCGCCTACGTTGCCTGCGCGCGTGTCTGTGGAGACACGCATTCGGTGTATGTTCACACGCGTGCTTTTACTCCTTATTTCCTGCCTCCTGTCTTGCTCCGCGTTTGATTTCCTCTGGCCCTTTCCATCATTCTCCCCTTGGCTCGTTGCTCTGGGTGCCCTATCTTCCACGCACGCACGCGTGTGCAGTGATACACACACACACTCCTTTTATTCTTTTTCCCCCACTGCTTCCTCTTTCCCCTCGCCTTTTCCCTCCGTTTGTCTCCATCCTCTCCTTCCTCCTTTTGCACTCCCACCTCCATCTTCTCCCCCCGCCCCCCCGCCTTTGTATGTCTGCTTCCTCATAATAAATATGCAGCAGCCCTCTAATTACGCCTCCCGCCTCCTTTTCTCCTTAATGAGACAATTTGCATTGACTAACCACCCTGCGAAAGGGGGAGGGGAAGAAGCAAGCAAAAAAAGGGGGGGGAGGAAAGAGGAAGAGAGCACAATTTGCTCTCCCCCTTCCCAGTTCCTCCTTGCTCCACCAAGTGGAGGAATGAACAAAAAAAGGGGGGGTTAATTTGGTGTTTTTTTTTAATTGTTAATTCCCGGGACACGGAGACCATAATGTTAAAAGGGTTGGGGGTGGGTTTGAGGAGAGGAAATGTTTGAGCAAAGAAGGGTCTCCAGGCACCTTCCCCAATCAGGACACCCACAGATTGCGTTGGGACCACCAGCTGTCTGGGGGTGCTGGGTATTACAGTGGGCACAGATGCCCTGTGATGGCAGAGCCCATTAGTGTCCCAACATGGATTTATTTTGTCTTCCTTGCTGAAAATGCCTTGCTAGAAACCAGGAGATGGTGAGTCCTAGTTCCACCTAAGGCCTGAAAGCAGGCTGGGTGACTTTGGGCCAGTCCCAATCTCTCAGCCCAGCCTAGCTCACAGGGTTGTTGTTGTGGGGAAAATGGGAGGAAGAAGGAGTATGGGGTCTGTTCGCCGCCTTGAGTTATTTATAAAAATAAGAAAGGTGGGATAAAATATCTAAAAAAAAACCCCCAAAACCCATCACAGCTAGTTGTGTAGGGTAGATTGCAACAGCTCCCTTAACTCACCCCTCTTTAGTTCCCAGCCTTTCGGGGGGGCAGAGAAAGTGGCCATGACCGAAAACCTTGTCGTGGGGCCTCTTGAGCAAAATTGAGGCCATCTTGAGCAAGCAAGCCCCGCATGGCAAGGATCCCATTGAAGCTGTAGCAGGCACAATTGCTTTAGCTCCCCTCGCTGCTAAATTTGCAATACCTCCCCATGTTGGCCAGTGTTGGGCAATTCCCAGGACTTTGCACCCTCGGGGTCATCTCGTTGTATGGAAACCCAGTTGCAGGATTATTAGAGGCAGATGGGCGCACCATCCTGTTTATCCGAGCCTATTAAAGACCAAGCTTTTGTGGGGTAATTTTAACCTGAATTGTTTTGTGGCAGAGCGGGGGGTCCAGCCATGGGGGCAATTCAAGCAAGCAAGAGAAACATATTGTGCCCAGACAACCCAAATGTTACAAGAAAATAGAAAAGCTTGAGTTGAATTGCTGAATTATATTGTTTTAGGAAACGGGCACACAGGTATTTGCTGATGGACAGCGAGATGAAGAGCAATTTTAGCAATCATGAGCAAGTAAGATGCTGACATGGAAACAGATAGGCATATCAGAGGAAATAACTTCTGATACAAGTTGCATTATCCACTCTGGGGACTCATACCTGGCTCAGGGGGAATAGAAACCCCAGACAGATGCAAAAATAAAGCCCCCGTTTTCAGAAAGATGAGCCGTCCACCTGACCGGCTCCTGAAAGCGAGTCTATAACTGACCCTTGAACGGAAGAGCTAAAGGAAAGAGGCAAAGAGAAATGGTTGTGTGCAGGAACAGTCAAAAAAGTCAAAATGGAGGCAGCAATGGGTAAGCTTGAAGCTCAGGTTGGTTCTTATGCACAGTGTGTGTTTTTTGACGGTACCTGCAGACACCCCTGTAAAACTGGAAGAGTTCCAGCCGTACTCCATTTTCAGCGGTTCTGGAGAATTTTAGGTGCATTTAATTTCACCAACCCGGCTAACCTCGGTTCTACGTTATGTATGTATATGCATACTGGCAAGATGTTAAAATACGGGTCACGCAAAGACTGGGGAGGAATCGGTTGCGTGCAAATATGAATAGAGAAATAGACTTAAGGAACCACATGAGCGAGCGGAGGCCAAAGGCTGTTAGAAACAAGCGAGTCTGGACGCCTGTGGGACGATCAGAAAATATATTGTGCGGTACTCATGCCCTGCAGAACGTGGGTCTGGCTCCTTCCTCGTTCCCCATCTTATCAGTTGCCAACGTGCTGTTAATTTGCATTGCAAATCTTTTTCAGAGATGGACAGCCGCTTTCCCCCATACTCAACAGTCCTCCTGATCCAAAAACAGCATGGCTTTCCAATTCCTTAACTTAACTTTCCAATTCCTTAACAGTGCTTCTCAACCTTGGCCACTGGAAAACAGGTGGACTTCAACTCCCAGAATTCCCCAGCCAATTATGGGGAATTGGCTGGGGAATTCTGGGAGT